TCATAAAATCCGAACACTCATTCGATATCGAGTCCAACCATACAAGAATTATTCAAATCCGACACCAAATCGCCACTCAAATCCCAATTTAAACTCTCCAAATCTCTAGCCTCAAACTCCAAAATTACACCTTAATACCACACAATCTAGGTGGGAAAATCAACGTGAAAACATAATTATTGAATAAAAATAACCACAAGTGACTTACCTCAAGGATCCCTTCGAAATCCCTCTAAACGATCGCCTAATCCCGAGCTTGAAATGTCCGAAATGATGAAACAAATCATGGAACCCTTGATTTTAATACACTGCCCAGACTTTCTGCACCTGCGATAACTTACCCACACCTGCGGCTTCGCGGGTGCGACCAATACATCCGCTCCTGTGATTGGCTTCGCGCCTGTGGACTCGCGTTGGCGAGCACACTGCCGCTTCTGCGGAGCCAACTCCCTTTCCTATTTCTGCTGCTGCGTTCATCACTTCGCACCTGCGACCTCGCAGGTGCGGGCAAGCTCTTCGCACCTACAAGCACTGCCCATTTCCACTCCTGGCTGCTTCTGCGATGGCTGGTGCGCACATGCGGCTTCGTACATGCGATCAAAACCTTCGCAGGTGCGATTACACCAGACCTGGTGCTTCAACAATCTCCCAAACTCCAAATTCGATCCGTTAACCATCCGAAACCACCTCGAGACCTCCGGGACCTCAACCAAATATACCAACAAGTCCCAAAAGACATAACAGACTTAATCGAGGCCTCAAATCACCTCAAGCAATATCAAAAATACGAGTCGCATCCCAATTCAACCCTAATGAACTTATAGACTTTTAACTTCTACTTTCGATGCCGAACCCTATCAAATCAAGTCCGATTGACCTCAAATTTTGTACACAAGTCATAAATAACATTATGGACGTACTCCAACTTTCGAAATCGGAATCCGACCCCGATATCAAAAAATTCACTCCCGGTCAAACTTTCCAAAATCTTCCAACGTTCGCGAATTAACACCGAAATGACCTACGGACCTCCAAATCAACATCCGGACATGCTTCTAAGACCAAAATTACCCTACGGAACTATTGTAACTGTCAAAACTCCATTTCGGAGTCGTCTCCATACAAGTTAATCTACGGTCAACTCCTACGACTTAAACTTTCACTTTAGGGATTATGTGTCCCATTTCACTCCGAAACCAAAAATCAAACCTTCAGCAAGTCACGTAACCACAGTATAATACAGAAAAATTAATAAATAGGGGGCCGGGGCTAATACAATCAAAACGATCGATCGGATCGTTATAATTGTATTCTCTAATTAGTTCAGCAATTAACCCCAAGAAAGTAATAAGGCATTGGAAATAATCAAATTTATTTATTTATGTATCTTTTTTCTCTCTATGGGTTAGCCCTCGGTGGTTTTGGACAAAAAATTTATCAACGGTCAGGTGAGCTTAGAATATTGTACTTTAATTAAGAATATTACAGTTTATGCACTAGTTAATATTCAAGCTGAACGAACCGAAGTTATGAGATGGAATAAATCGAACCAAAAGGAGACAAGGAGAACCATAACTAATTTAATTAGATATGGTATTGAGATAGCATTTTAAGAAATGAAATATCGAAAATACCAAACAGAAATGACTAAATACCATACCGACCGACTAATACATGTGAGTTAGTGTGTTGAAGTGAAACTTGGAGGGAGGTCTCTCAAATTGACCGTATTATAGAAGTGTAAAGTTCCGTAGGGAAATATCGTTCGTCCTTTTTACCCTTTAAACATTAATTTTACACCAGACAATAATTATTTAATTAGTTACCTAATATTTTAGGAATTAACATTTGATTACTTACCTAATATCTATAACTTCTTTCCATTCTTTTAGGTTTTTAAATCATTTCTAAGTTTGGTAGCATACTAATTCCTTAAAAAATAGAAATTATAAATAAATGTTTCTCTTATGATATCGATTCAGTGTCAAAGCAAGCCCGTTGAATGACCTTCTTCAGTTCTCTGTCATTGCAAATTTCAGGTTCTATCTTTGACTTTCAATTTTATAATAAAATTATATCTCTTTTGTTATCATTAAATCGTTAATATCTAGTGTTTTAATTTGATCTTTGTATATGAAAAATAGGCTGCTGGAGTTTTTATTCAACAACTCTATGAATTGCATTACTAGTTGGCTGAACAAAATCATTGACTAGGTCAACTTCTTTCTTTAATTCTATTTTAAGCAATACATTAATTAATTCAGAGTCCGATTCTATTATTCCATGATCTACATGTATGAACAATTGTATAGTTTAATTCAATTCTAGAAATCCTACCATTTTTTACGGGCATCCCGTACAAAATCATCAAAATTGTCTTACAATTCCCGATGTTATTTAGACAGAAGTTGATCCGTCGAAAATTATAGACAGAAGAACACTATCGTGTCCCATATATGAATTCAAATTATCTACGGCGTCCGTCGCAATGCCAGTCGGATTTCATTTCTAAATTAGCATGCTAGCGCCCAATATTTCACCCCATATTTCCGACGAAATGCGCGAAAAATTAAAACATAAATTAACTTAATTAATTTATTAATTTTTGAGAATTCGTCGAAAAATTAAAATAATTTTTTTAATTTTTTTTTTCTTCAATTGCTTCGGTCGAAAACTTACTCTCTTTATTTTTTTTGGCTTTTCTAATGGTATCCGTTGAAAAACAAAATAGCTGGTGTTTCCGCAAAGATTGACGACGAAAAATATATCGAAAGTGTCAAAACAAATAAAAGAATATAGATATTCTATGCTCCCTCGGAAGGTTATCAAAAATATAATCGGAGTTCCGCAAAAAAAAAAAACTAGTCAGTGAAATTTTGCTATTTACAAAGGAAAAATGCATAATTACCCCTCAATCTATGTCCAAAGTTCTAACTACACCCATTTCCTTTTTGAGGGTCCTGTTACCCCCGAACTATCTCAATTTAGAATTATTAACTCCTTAAATGGTGAGGTGGCAAAGAGAGTGAGTTCTCTCTTAAAAGCATGTGAAGCACGAAAAATAAGATGAAAACAAACAAATATGTGCAACAGTCATTTTTAATTGGATACCAAATTAATTTATATTTAATTAATTATCATTATCCCTTAAACCTTTTATTATTTTTTTATTTTTTCGAAAATCAAGTCACCTCTCCAAGAACAACACACTCTCTGTTATAACCCTAAACACTCTTCTTCCAAGGCTCCCCTTACAAACCTTAAAGCAAATAAAAGAAATATATTAAAAATATATTACTTCAAAGTGAAAATTATGATGCAATTATTATTAAAGCATTACTTTGATGGATATATTAATGTGACATGAATTATTTTGCGCGAATCTGCTATTGTCTAGGTTGGATGAAGTTATCGGAACACCATTATTTCTCCCGACTAACCAAAAGAAAAGATAAAACAAAAGAAAAGAAGAAGGAAAAGAAACAAGAAAAGAAATGAAAGGAATAGAATAAATAAAAGAAAAAAAAGATAAAAAGCATTTCGACAAAATTATCGGAGAAAGAAAAGGAAAAAAGTTGGTGACGGCCGGATGGAAGAAAAATTATCGAAATTCGCAGTCATATGCATGACAAAGAATGGGAATGAAAAAGAAAAAGGAAAATATTTGGAATATATTAAGAAAACAATGAAAAGAATAACAAAAAAGTACAAAAAAGGAGATATATACACGTGTCAGGCGAATGTGTTTCACATTCTAAGAAAAATCTGGTTATGACACTTCAAAGAGATATCTATTCCACTTTAGAATAGTTCAAGGGGGTAATAAGACTCCCGAACGGAAAAAGTGTGTAGTTGGAGCTTTGGTTATAGGTTGTTGGGGTACTTATGCATTTTTCCATTTACAAAATGAGAAATATAATGTATTCTTTTTCTAATCCTATTAGAAATAATTCATATAGTATTTCGTATTGATTAAAAAAATAGAACAGTTAAAAATTATTTTCTATCGAGGGGCGGATGTAGCCTTTCAACTATGGGTTCAACTGAACTCATAACTTTCGACACAGAATATGAATTTATATATAAAAAGCTACTAAAATATCAACAAGTATTAGGTTTGAATTCATAATTTTAAAAGTACAATGAGTTCAATACTAAAAGTCTTAAAACTGAACCCATTAAATTTAAATCATGAATCCGCCTTTGCGTCTATCAGTTTGCTAATTGTGCTTGTGTCTTATAGAATGAACACGAGAATACCAAAAAATATTATTTTTTTTAAAATCTTTATAGTTTATGTGTGATTGCTGAAACTGAAAAGAAAACATGATAACTTGTGAAAATGGACTGATGAACTTATAAAACAGAAAAATGATTTAGTTGAATATGCTGACGGATGAGTTAGGTGTATAGGATCCACATTCACCGGTACATCTTTATTTTATAACTCAAATACAATATTTATGCGATTATTTAAAATTCTTTTTCTTTTTATTAGTTGCGCACATATGACTAGTTTGATACTATGACTAGTTTGATACTTATCCAATTCGTTTTTGCACTTGCCTCACTCTGGGGAACTTTGAACGAATCAACAAACTTTTTTTTTTTCAAAGAAAAGAAAACAATATACGAAGAGAAGTCCTTAGGACCCATTTGTCCATAGATTTGTTTTTGAATTTTTGTTTTTCAAAAACGTGTTTGTCCATAAAAATTATAAATTTTTTGGAAAAGAGTTTTTTTCAAGTGTTTCTGAAAAAAAATTCCCTCAGTCACAAAAATACAATATTTTTTCTAAGTGAAATGCATGTTCAAATATAATTTTAAATTTCAAATACTATTTTGTTTTTAAAAATCGCAATATTTATGTCCAAACGCCTACTAAAATGCATAGTGTTGTTGACATGAACTATATAGTTATCTAATCTTCTTTCTGAGGCATGATCTTCTTTTCTCCTACAAAACTTCAGATGATAGTTTTTTGTCAAGGCTCCTCTAAAATGGAAGAAGATAGGTAAGTATTCTTGATCTCAGATCATTCTGGTTCATTCTACTTCTTATTTTGTTGTTTTTCTGTTTGAATACTTATTTCTTGCTTCAAGTCCTTCTCCTGGCGTTCTTGGTAAACTTTTGTTGTACTTTTCCGTTTATATATAATGGACTTGTTATAAACACAAGGAGTATATCCAATGTTCATTTATTATAGTTACTTATTCGTGTTTCTAGTTGTACTGAAAACCTAAATATAATACGCCCTCCGTCTCATATTAATAGTAGTGGTTACTAAAAATAGTTATCTTAAATTATTTGTTAATTTAGAAGTTCAAGACAAAATTGATTATCTTTTTCCTTTTTACTCTTAGTAATAATTATCCTTGAAGACTACAAACACCTAACTTTGTTCAAATACCAATGAAGAAAGATTAAATATTAAGACATAAATAAGAGTAAAGTAGTCAAAATCCCATCATAATTAATTTTTCTTAAGGAACGTGTACAACATGACAGATAATATTAGACAGAGGGAGTAAATACCGTACTATTTACATCTCCTTGTCATTAATTAACTTTTTTTTTTTGTGCTTGCTATATCTATCAGTGTTGGACCATCATACTATACTAATACGAACATATTACATTATTTTTTACGAAAGCATCTTCATTTTATAAGCTTGATATAGTAATATAGTTGCTAGTCTAAATATTTATCAGTTAGTACAGTTATCAAAAAGTATTTGTCTGTTAGTGTTCTTTTAGCTGTGTGGAGTGTACTATCTGAAAGTGAAACTATATCTTGATGATTGATTTGTTGAATTTCTGTCTGATTGTATTCCTTTTGATGTTAATTTGTCTGATGTCAAAAGCAACAACAACAAAGAAGAGCAGTTAAGAGAAGAAGCATGTTCAAAAAAGAAAGAAAAACTTCAAGACTGTTTATTGTCAGCAAGATCATGGCGTGATCTGCCTTCAGAACTTTTAAGTGATATAGCAAACAACTTGGGAATTTTTGATCTTCTTGGTTTTCGTGGAGTCTGCAGTGGCTGGCGCTCTTCTTCGATCACAGCTTCTGCAGCCATAGAATCTGCTCCTGACAATCATCCTTATTTTCTACTCCACAGCGATAGCGATGAGAAATGCATCCTCTTTAATCCAACCACCAACAAGCAGTACAATATCAATATCCCCGAATTGAACGAAACTACTTGCCTTGCTTCAAGTCATGGTTGGTTACTGTTATCCCAAAAAGGTCTCATTTTCTTCTTCTGCCCTTTGTCTCGTGCAAGAATTGACCTCCCCTCATTTCAAGAATCAAAAATATTTGAAGGGGCTGCTGCGTTTACTTCTCCTCCTTTGTCAATTGATTGTGCTACGGCTATCATTTGTCGAAAAAATTATCGTATTTTGGAAGTAAATGTGCTGGAACGTGGAGTTAGCTCGTGGGTGAAGTATGAATTTGATCTTGGAGATAGATTTTTTGGGATGGTTAGGGGTGCTACTTTTGCTGATGGGTGTTTTCATATCTTGGATGACGAGGATGGGCTAGTGACATTCGACCTGAAAAATAACCATTTTAAGATTTACAAAGTAGTTATTAAAGGAGGTGGTAATTATCCAAGTGCGGAAAGCCTGCAATTTTTGTACAAGGAGAAATATTTCAGAAGGAATGGTTTCAGGAAAAGGATGAAACTTGGGAAAGATGTTACCATTTCTGCTTGTGCTGCCTCTTACGCTGGAAGTGATGATTCTGTAATTCTTATCAAGAATGAAGAGATTAAGGCCAAGGAAGAATTTGGAACTCGCGATTTCAAAGGAATTTGGATTCAGCCAAGATTCTTTCAACTCCCTCCAAATTACTGTTGGGAAAAAACAAATACAAGCAATATATACGACAAGGTAACAACGAAATAATACTCAAGTCTATTTTTTTTTTCAATCTATTTGAATCAAGAAAAGATAATAAACTATAACACAAATTGAATATGGGCAGCAATGTATCAACCGATAAAATATGGCAAGGTTGGAATGTAGACACAGAAATTTTCATGTCTACATTGATCGCGAAACAAGAAAATTTAATTTCTAAAATTGATTATTTTCTTTGCTTACTCTTGATCATGTGTGATGGATGATATGAAAGAACCTCCGATATTTGTCATGAATACAAATTATATTTTTATATCGATTACCACTCACTTTTAGTGCTTTTTGTGCGGTTTAACTGTTAAAATATCCATTTTCTCTAACTATTAATTTTTTATGTTTAGGAAGCCAACAATGTGAAAGGAAGCAAGCTAGGGAGATTTTTGACTAAATTTTAAAGAAACTGAAGATGTCCAGGGCTTATGCACGCAGGTCAAAATTTCAGGCTTATAAGCTAAGGGCTAATTTTGTCCACATGATGATTTTGAGTGTAACTTTTGCTTGGAAAAGAAGAGTTCTTATTGTAGAGGCAGAGGCAAGTTCGGAAGAATGTTTGAATTCTGCTTTTCTTGCTATATTGAGGAGTTTTTCATAAATATTCTTCTTTTATAGATTCTACCTTGTTCTCTATTTAATATTTTGTTGAGTTTTTCATAAATATTCTTCTTTTATGAATTCTACCTTGTTCTCTATTTAATATTTTGTTCGTAGAATATTTTTTTATCAAACTGCAACAAATATGACGATAATAATTTTTTTTATCCAAAACATAAAATGCTAGGAATATAACATGAGAAAACAAAATTTTAACCATATTTTCCACATTCCCGTTATTGCATCTTTAAACAAAAAGTCATTCTTAACTCATGCTTACTTTTAACGCATGATGAGTTTTACTATTAACTCTGCCCACTTTTAACGCAATACTCCATTTTTAATCCTGCTCACTTTTACTATGGTTGTTGATCACGTCCAACCATGCATAATAAAAACACTAGCGATTGCTGCAAATATAATTCAGTTTAAGAGCCCGGAGTTGAATCTCATAAGGAACTAACCTATCAATCACAACTATTCTAACGATATGGATTCAAGCAAATTATCACGACCCAAAATCTAACTAGTCGCGGTGATACCTAACTCAACTCGCTAGGTAAGCCAAGTAACATTTAACACAAACTCATGTGAGAATAATAAGGGTAAATGAGTAAAATAACCGAATTTCTATACAACTCCCAAGGATTGGTAGTATAAGTCATGAGTTTCTAAGACTTAGAATTTACAAAACTGGTATGAAATAAATACATCATCTGTTCGAAATATACATAAATAAATTTGCAAATCTAAAGCTACCAAGGACAAGTCATAACTATATCCGGAATGCAGGCACATCTTCAATGGCAGTTCCTGCCATATACAGTAATATCAGCTCCAACATCTACACGCAAGGTGCAGAAGTGTAGTATGAGTACAACCGACCCAATGTACTCAATAAGTAACAAACCTAACCTCAGGTTGAAAACAGTGACGAGCTCGGAAGAAGGTTAGTATCCAACATCAATAGCCAATAACAGTTCATAACAGTATAGTGAAGACAGTAAAGGTATATATAACTCAGGAGATGTAATGCTCATCTCGTTCACAGATACGAAAAAGTAGACATGCTTTTCAAGTATAATAGTCCAACTCTAAATCTTACCACTGAAATCAATTTGACATGAGTTTATGAAAAGAACTGTGTTTTTTCCAATTTACAACATCAAATAAGACTTTTCATTTATCGGTAGTATGAAGAAAATGCATCTCTATGCCTACATGTCAAGTAATCAGATGTCATGTCACTGTCTAGCATGCAGAAGGTACATCTCTATGCCTACATGTCAGATATGCATGTCAAGTAATAAAATGGCATATCACTGTCTGGCATGAGGGAGGTACATTTTCACGACCCAAAATTCCAACCCTTCATGATGACGCCTAATACAATTACTAGGCAAGCCGAATATAACAATAAAAAACTAAAATAATGGAATTTACATAAACAACATAAGTCCGAAACCTCAATATAGCCAAATACAGCTAGTACATGATAAATCCCCCAGAAACTGTTAAATACAAAGTCATGAGCTCTAATATGGAAATACAAATTTGAAATGACCAAGTACAATACTGTCTGAAATAAAAATAACAATACATAAGAAAAGAGACGCCAAGACTGCGGTCAAGAATGCAGTTATACCTAGTCTCTCAGCAATCAACTTTGCTACTAGCCTCGGCTACTAATGATTGGGTTCGATACCTAGATAAGCACAATTAAGTGTAGAGTGTAACATGAGTACAACCGATCTGAATATACTCATCAAGTATCATAACTAACCTCGGTGAGATAAAATAAGTAAGAATTATAAATGATACTTACTGTAACTTGTATAGTTTCATAAATTCGACAAGTACAGAACAATAATGTGATCTAGTATAAAGAATAGGAAAGAACTATTTGTGTACGTGTGTACAATTTCTCAAGTACTCTGCTCAGTCAATGATACATCATATAAAGATGATATGCAAATAAATCAGTTAATTAACCATAGAAATTGCAAGTAAAGTTAAAAGACAAAATCCAAAACAAGCACTGGCCAGAATTTCCTCAATATTTCCATATCCATACCAAATCACTGATAAGTTTTTTTCAAATCCGCGTGTATGCCATCAAGAGAGAAACATGAGAGGGTGACAATGGGGGGATGGATCCATATCCACATGCTGCACAGACAACTCACGTACTAATAATATCAACCGCATGGACAACTCACATGTTGCACGGATAACTCACGTGCTAATAATATTAATATTTGGATTCACACTGACAACTCACGTGCTAACAATCACAATCCACCCGGTGTGGTCACAAGCTACCTGCTAGATCATAGCTCACAGAAAGCAAATATACGAGAATACATGTGCACGATCAATGATTATCAAGTTTCATACTCCTGGACTGGTATAACTAACATGCTATAGTGTAGGCATGTGTAGTGTATGTTATCGCAGCTAGAACAAATAATTTCATCATGAAATAGTAGTTTATCAGGTTTAATCGGGAGAATAACTTGAAGAAAATCTCAAATGTGGTACAAATAGCTCACATAGGGGTACAAATATGAAAAACATCACAACTTCAAGCTTAACAGTTAATTCAAGGCATATTATAGCCTAAGCACTATCCTGAGCATGATAATAGTACCCCGATGCATGCATATAGGCTCAAGCCCACACATATACGCTACTCATAGCACATAGATATCACAAATAATTCAGGCAACTAGTGCCTCAACCAAATTTAGGTAAGATACTTACCTCAAGTAAGCCAAATCACTCCTCTAACAAGCCCTTCCCGCGCGTATCAAGCTTTGGACGGCTCGAATCTAGCCAAAATAACTTAATACCATCAATAATAGTTATAGGAAATAATTCCAAATGATAAAGCTAAGGTCTTTAATCAAAATGAAAAACTCAACCCAAAAAGTCAACCCCGAGCCTCCACCTCAAAACCCGATAAAATTTACAAATTTTGAACACTCATTCAATTACTAGTCCAACCATACCAAAATCATTCAATTCCAACCACAAATCGATCCTCAAATCGTCAAATCTCACTCTCCAATAACATAGACTAAAATTTCCCAAATTTCACATCAAATACACATAAACTAGGTGCAATAATCAATGGGTAATCAATATCTATTATCAAAATTCAATAAACTTAACTTACCTCTTTAATTATAGTGAAAAGCCACTCCAAATATTGCCTTATAACGAGCTCCAAAATCCCAAAAATAAGAAGAAAAGACCAATCCCTCGATTTATAATCATGTCCAGCAATTCCGCACATGCGACGCCGCACTTGCGAAAAAAATAATCACAGGTGCGGAAATTCATTTATTCCCCACCTACGCGCACATGTGGTCCATAATCCGCACCTACGGGACCGATGCTGCGGTCACACCCCCGCTCATGTGAATCCTCATCTGTAGATCTCGTCCACATCTGCGACTCAAGCCTGTCCAGTCAAACTCTGCTTCTACGTAATATTCCTCGCAGAAACACATTCGCTTCTACAGAACTCCATGCTCATCTGCGACCTCACCCCAGCCTAGACAACCCCCACACCTGCACTACTAAGGCTGCACATGAGGCTCCGCATCTGTGGCCATACCCACCGCAGGTGCGTAAACACCAGAAGCCAGAATCCCTTCACCAATGCTCTAAGTCCATAAATTGATCTGTTAACCATCCGAAACAGATCCGAGGCCCCCGGGACCCTATCCAAACATACCAGCAAGTCCTAAAATACATTACGCACTTACTTGAAGCCTCAAATCTCATCAAACAATATCAAAATTACGAATTGCACCCCATATCAAGCCTAATGAAACTGATAAACTTCCAACTTTTAAAACTAATGCCGAACCATATCAAATCAACTCCTAATGACCTCAAATTTTGCACACTAGTCTCAAATGGCACAACGGACCTATTCCAACTCCTGAAACTAAAATCTAAACTTGATATCAACAAAGTCAACTCTCGGTCAAACCTCTCAACCTTCCAACTTTCGCCAAAAAGATTCAAACCAACCTACGGACCTCCAAATCAACATCCGGACATACGACTGAGTCCAAAATCTCCATACGAAGCTATCGGAACCATCAAAACTTCATTCCATAGTCGTCTACATAAAAGTCACACTTCGGTCAACTTTTTTAACTTAAGCTTCTAACCTTGGGTCTGAGTGTCCCAATTCACTCTGAAACATCCATGAAACCAAGCCAACAATCCTGGCAAGTCACATAACCATAAATGAATATAGGAGAAGTAGTAAATATGGGAACAAGGCTACAATACGCATAATGACCGGCCGGGTTGTTACATATATTTCTATGCCTACTTGTCAAATATACATGTCAAGAACT